ATATATAATTTACACACACACACACACACACACACACACACACACACACACACACACACACTTTCCGTTTTTTATTACTAAATTAAATATTTATCTCATGCTTTAACCACCGATTATCAAAATAAAATATTTTATTTACTGAAATTTGATTTTTTTATAATATATATTAATTGTTAATTATATATATATTAATATTTCAATTATATATAATTTTATTATAATATATATTAATATTTCAATTATATATAATTTTATTATAATATATATTAATATTTCAATTATATACAATTTTATTATAATATATATTAATATATTTCAATTATATACAATTTTATTACAATATATATTAATTTCTTTATAATAAAAATATTTTTTCCATAAATACTACTCAACTCCCGTTATCATAACGCGCGACATTTCATAGGTCGCTACCATTTGCTTCGATTCCTGGAAACTGGCGACCGCGACCCTAGGACAAAAGGTCCGAAGACCGGGTTCAACGCGCAGCGCGGCGCGATTCGGGCTTTTTTGTAGGAACCGGGATACACGGTGTCTCCCGATAAAGCAAAAGCTCGCGACACCGCTTCGAATAATAGCTTCGCGCGGTGCCGAGATTATCGGTTCGCGGAATGCGGTTGTGTATCGGCTCGAGGGCCCGGCAGGCGATATCAATAAACCGCGGCGGTTCTCTATTCGTCGAAATAGGAGCGTCGGAATGAGCGGCGTTCGGATGATGTATCGCCTGGGTGGGAAACGATATAAATTTCTGTTCCGCGAGACGGCCGTAAATATTCGTTCGCGTGAATTACCGTTCCGCGGCGATCGCTGAAAAGAAGCTCGAAAGAGAGAAGGACGGTCTCGGTATCGAGGCGGACAGGCGGCAGTAAATCGGCGGAAAGGGGACGAAAGGTAGGCAGGAAGGCAGCCAAGGCAAGCAGCAAGGCAGCGAGGCAGCAGCGAGGCGGTCAGGCAGGCAGGCAGGCAGCGTGGCGCACGATTACCTTAGCGTGTGCGCGCGCGCGCGTCGAGTGACGACAATAAAAGAGCTTAAACGCGACGTCCAGTCGTTTCCCGGTCTAAGCGCGACGTTGATAAATAATCATTGGCGTATAGACGCAAGCATCTACATGCAGGTGTACATTCAGACCGGCACGCCGCGCCGCGATGCGCCGCGATGCAGTGCGATGCGGCTCGCTGCGCCGCGTCGCGACACCTGGTGCTGATTAACGAATCGGTGAATCGGTTCTGGTCAGGTAGAGGAGGCTAAGTGGCCGGCTAAATTGCCGCGTTATTCTTGTAAACCGCGGCATCCCCGACTATCCAATTACCGGGCGAGGTGGCAAGACGGTCCCCGGTGCCCGCGTGGCCGCGTGGTGCATGCTCGCGTTCCACCGACGGACTCGGAATCGCGGCCTTTTTTTAACGCCGCCGACACCATTAAGGTCAACTAATGAGCACGGCCCGGAGAGAAAAAAAGGGGGCGCCAGGGGAGGGGAAATTAATCGGTAAATTTCGCGTGGCACCGAGCCGGCTGCAAACTGGCTTCGTTAAGGCTAGGGGATCGCCGAATTTAACAAGTATCGTCTCGCGGCCACGCTCTTTAAGATCGTTCCACTTGCCACTTTGCCGTCGTCACCGTGCCCACGGAACGTATTATTAATCGACTGCACTGCCCGCCTTCGGGGAGAGGGATCTTTAAAGCGAGTCCCCAAAGAAATTATCGAGTCCGACCGCGCGCAGGATATTGCGGATTCCTCGATTCCACGTTCTTGCCCGCGTTTGTACAAATAACTCTTAATTACGTGGTCCGTTCGCGCTCCGAGGTGTGCTAATTTGCGACCTGAACATTTTGTTTTGACAGGTGAACGATATTTTATTGGGAATATGGGCGCGTGGAACGAGGCCACTTTTGTGCGGGACAATAAGATCGAGTTAACGTGGAGCAATTAGGATCTTGCTATGATTATAGATTGTCTCTCGTTAAATTGTAATGTTCGAATAATAAGTTCTCGGTAGGTCGACGAGCTTGATGACTGTACGGATGACGATCATTGTGGTTCGACGAATTCTTGCTACGGCGGAACCACGATTATCCGTCCTAAACGTTGTAAACACTGCCGGATTTGGTTTACATTGATTTTTATTGCGGATCGTGTTGCATACGGATTGTCTTAGATCAGGGGTGTCAAACTCGCGGCCCGAGATGAAATAATAATAGAAATAATAATTATTTCATCTCGGGCTATATATCTAGATATATATTGGAGGACCGGATCCATTGATTACCTTATGGCACTGAATTGTGTGCGTAATGAAATTATTATATTACAATAATTATTATAATATTATTATATTATTATAATAATTATAATAATAGTAATTATTATTATTATAATATTACAATAATTATTATAATATTATTATATTATTATAATAATTATAATAATAGTAATTATTATTATTATAATATTACAATAATTATTATAATATTATTATATTATTATAATAATTATAATAATAGTAATTATTATTATTATAATATTACAATAATTATTATAATATTATTATATTATTATAATAATTATAATAATAATTATTATTATTATTACGTTTTGAAAATTTAATTAGGATCACAGAATCTGAAAAGATCGTAAAATTCAAGTTGCAGTTTTTAATTTTGTGAAATCTTTAAGCTTGTTCGGTCAATGTATTAATCGCCAGGAGCTGTGTAGCTAGATATCGCATCCAAAAATGTTCGTTGTTAAACGAGAAAATGTACGGTACCTTCGCGTTCTACGTACGTCGTAAACTTATAAATTAATTGTATCTACCACCTTGTCTAAATTGTAGCGTCGCAAAATGTCGTTCTAACTGTACCAGACGAACGGAACTCAGGGATCAGCTTTCAAAAAGACGAATATTTGATGCCCGCTTCCGAGAGAGCGAAGTTTAATCAGAATCTTCAATCTAGAGCATCCTGTAGTTTTATTCCTTGTACCCATTTGCCAACGAGTGGCGCCGTCTACGCGCGAAGCGTTCCATTTAGTTGCAACATCTCGCGTGTCCTGGTTCAGTTTAGAGCTTTCACCGTAAAACTTACTCTATATCCCCGTATCTGCTACTATTTGCTTTCGAAGCGATTATCATGGCATCCTTCTAGCGAGAGATATCGATCCGATTATCTCGACAGTCATGTATCGGGGAGAAATCTGTCGAGCCAAGCTCGCGACCGTCGAGGATTCTGCAACGGTGTTGCGGTATGAAAAAGCCGACGGCTTTACATTATTTAGTTATCATCGCCGGCAATCGACGCCGCGTACGTATCGTACTGTATCATTTAATGGTTTGATAAAATGCAGTCGCGACTGTGGCTGGACCGGAAATGAGAAAAAACGTTGCATCGCGTGGCGACGAATCTTACCGGTGGAATTAACGGGAAACGACAAGAAACGCGGATAATCAAGCCGGTATCTTTACGATCCCGTGGCTTCTTTCTTACTATTTTACGCGCGCAATTCGGTGCAACAACCGGCCACTTCGAAAAGGCTGCTCGAACGGCTCCGTTACAGAACTTTCGAAATATCGTACGGGTCGCGATAAATCGTCGTTCGAAACGAGATTGTCTTTGATACCGTCGTGACATAAAACACACTCGGTTAAACCGTGGCGGTTTCTTCCGGATCAGCATCGTTGCAACCCTTTAAACGTTGCACGCACTTGACAACATTGCGGACAGCATAATGCGACAGCTACCTGCGGATAGTCCATAAACGTTCGTTATGCAATTTTATGGACGCTATAAAATGCTTCTTCGGCGTTTAAAAAGCATGAGTCTGTCCGAAGTGACGAACCAAAGGGAAAGTAAAAATGTGGTATTATTATAGCGAAGAGTACTTGAAACATTACATACGTATTTAGGTAGCATGCGATGTGAATAATTTCATGGTCTATTCGAATATATATAATAAATAATTAATAATATATATATAATATATATATATAATAAATAATTAATAATATATATAATATATATATAATAAATAATTAATAATATATATAATATATATATAATAAATAATTAATAATATATATAATATATATATAATAAATAATTAATAATATATATATAATATATATATAATAAATATTTTGTAGTCGGCAGTTCTCGTATCGAAAAATTGTGTTCGATTTCATGACACTCCTAAATATTTCGATTTCATGAATGAACTACAACAGTATTCAGAGAAATCATGCGTGCGTGTGAAATGTAAACGCAACTTTATGCATCGTACAACTTGCAAGCGTAATCGAATTGCACTGATGATAACAGCTACTCATAGAAACCAAAAAACAATGCAGTCATTAGCGACCACAATCGTCTACGAGTCACGCGTAGTTTCGGCCGATTTGCATTACGATGCTTTTAACAAATACCGTTAAAATTTTCTCGTGACAAGCGTTGCTCCAACGACGCGTCAAACGTTTTCAAAATTTCTCGTTAACGGAAACAATAGATTCGTAAAGAAAAAGAATCATCGACAAGGTTTCTAGCTGAACATCTTGAAAATTTTCGGTGCACGGAATCTCTCGCGTCCGGAACGAAATTATTATTATTAGTAATTCGGTGATCGATCGTCGGAAATCACGCAAGACGGATAATGGGAAAACAGGCGCCGAAAATGTCGGCCCGAGTGGTCAACGCCATCAAGAATTTAAGGGAGGTTCACGGATCCACGTCGAAGGAAATCATGAGCTACATCATGTCACAATATAATGCTCCGGTATCAACTATACAGAGACAGGTGCGCGTTTGGAACTGTTCGATTTGCTATATTACTCTTGCTGCTTTAAAATTTAACCCGGCGATCATTTCTTTTTCTTTTATTTGAACGCAGTTCCAACCTCCAATAGAGATTATTTGCCGATCATTTTTATTTTGGAAGTAACATCGTTCAGAATGGGGCAAATCAGATTCTCAAATTTGCTTCTCGTGTTTGCTTGTCCGTATCGATCGACTAAAATGTAAATTTTTATAAATATCAACGACTCTTGTTTAGTTTTTTAATCTTAACTCTGAAGTCCGGTGTCTGCATTAAGAAAACTTCTGCCTTGATTACAACTTTCAACGATTGGATATCGAACTTTGTTTAGCTCTCATCATCCTTTCCAAACAATTTAGCAACTTTCTCAGTTCTTTGTTATAAAAACGTTTGCTTCTACCATCAGAAGAGTGTTTGGACTCCCTTTCGACTTTGGAATCATCAATTCCGTAAATGATTTTCTAGTTAAATGAATTAACTATAATCCTTGGCAAAGATTTCCATTAAACAAACTTGAAATATAAATAAAATACGATGTTTCTCAAAAACATGAGTTAATTAGACTAAACTAAAGAAGTATATAATTTTACATTCTTAAATCTTATTTGATAAACTTTTTGCTGATATTATCGAAGCTTAAAAGTGCTGATAAAACTGCATCGCAGCTGATATCTAGAACTATTCGACGATCTATTACCAGAGTTGGATATTATTCGAATTGTCTCAAATAAACACTTATCTAAAATGAATTCATTTTAGTCACATATTTTATTCGAATAACGATTCTTCATTATTCGTAGCAAACTACTCTATCCATTTATTCGAATAATTCTTCATTCCTTAGTCGAATAAATTATTCGAAGAGAGATTTTGAAATTATTTGAATAATAATGCCAATAATTGTTAAACGTTATTATTTACGTAATTTTTTAAAAATACATGTGTTGTAAATATGAATCCTGGAATATACGATGACTTGCTTGACACCCGAAGAGAAATTATTTAATTTTACATCAATAATCAAAAGTAACAAACTTTCGTAAAAAGCTTTGATTGATTTTTATTCAAATCAATTATTCTCCGAAATCATTCCTGTGCAAATAAATTCTTACACGAATAACAAATAACTTTTTATTCAAATAAATTTTTATTCGAATAACATCATATTTGAATAAATTGTTATCTAGATAAATGTTCATTCGATTTGGACATTTATTCGATAACGTCGAGTAAAAATGTTTTCGCTAATCCTCGACGCAACCTCGACCCTCTGCGCAATCTTTTCGGACCAAATATTAGGGGGACCGGAAAGTAATGTCGTTTCTGCGCATATTTATCTGTTTGAATTGAATGTAAACAAACGACATAACTTCCCAGTCCCCCTAATACTTCGTTGTTACTGCATTGCTAATCGTTTCACGCAATTTCCACAGATGCAAACGGCGTTGAAGCGCGGCCTAGACTACGGTATTCTGAAGAGGCAGAACGGTCACTATTACTTGAACACGGAGTCGAGGGTGCCGCAGATGTTGGCTTCGAACACGCCAGCCGAGAGGAACGGGAGACGTCGCAGCAGACGTAGACGAAGTCGACGCCGAGGCAGACGACGTCGCCGCAGCAGAGGTCGCAGGTCGAGACGAAGGAGAAGCGGCCGGAGTAGGCCTGGCGGAAGGTCCAGGAAGGCGGGTTGCACCAATTGCAGGTGCACGAGGAGGGCCAGGGAGCTGCAGATCCTGAAGGACACCGTGGCCGGGCCACGGAACACAGAGGACGACGACGCGTACACGCGCAACAAAGACAGCGACGTCGAGCGTCGCAGCAAGAGTCGGGACCGCAGCGGATCCCGTAGTCGATCATCGATAAACAGCGATCAAGATGCCGCGACGGACGATCGACAGGCGACTCATGATCAAGATTAATGCAGCTGAACAGCTCGGCTTATGCCTCGTACCCCAGCATCGTTAGCTGCGACAATCTCTCAGCGCGTTGTCGGCGCCGATCGACATTCTCCGCGACGCTCCACCAACGAACTTGATGGCGACCCAGACCCCATGTTCTTTCGGCACCTCGGTTGAAATCTTCGACGATTGTATATACATTCGCCACTGTCTCTTGTCAGTATTTGTAATAAATTTATTTTGTAGACATAGCTCTGTATTAAAATTTTTTCAGTATATGAGCCGTTTATTTTGAAAGTGGCATAAGTCACTTTGTTTTTAAGTCGATATATATAAGGGTTTGCGTTTTAACACGTTTAAAAATATGGATGCTAACTTTCGAGAAGATTCACTTGTATTTGTTGTCTCAGGATACTGATATTTTTCTCAGTATAAATAATTTCGCATAAACATTACAAAATCACCACTTTTCGTTGCGGTAAAGTAATTTATGCCACTTTCAAAATAAACGGCTCATATGTACTTTCAAGAGTATTGGATGATCGGTCCTAGGTAATTTTTACAGGCACGTGTTTAGATCCTTTGATTAATGGCGCGAGTCTTAATTATCATATGTATACAGGAAGTTTAAAAAAAAGTACCAAAATTATGGTACTTCCGGGAAACGAGAGGTTCCTTGGGTCATTCGAAGTAACTTTTTCCTTAGCGCAAATGCAATTCGCCGTTTTGTTTACGAGTTATTAAGGAAAAACAGTAACCAATGAGCGGTGAGATCAGCTGGCGCGTGGCGGCCAAGCCACTAAACGGAACTGGACTCCGTGCACTCGTTGGTGCGTTCTCATTGGTCAGTGTTTTTCGTTAATAACTCGTAAATGAAGCTGCGGATTGCATTTTTGCTGAGGAAAAAGTTGCTTCAAATAACTTCAGGAATCCCTCATTTCCCGGGAGAAGCGTAATTTTGAGACACCCTGTATATGTTTCGTATACGTGTACGCATTTCTGCTGAGTGTAATAGCTAGATTGCGGATCTGCATCGATTGCAAGACGCAGGAGCTAAATTCAATCCTATTTCTCTCTCAAATAATTTTAATGAGTTGTAATTAACATATCAAAACTTCTAGTTTTTCTTCATTAGTTCACTAGCTTATGTTGCAGCTATACATCTTGCTTACGAATTCATAAAATTCGCGGTCTAGTATTAATACTGCATTGGTTTCCCATAACCTTAAGTTCATTCTTTCAGTCTGATGAATGAAGGCGAGCCTTAGAATTGTTTTCATTTGTTTATTGGAAACCTTTATGAATTATACAGGCACTCGAAGATCTGCAATTTACTAGCAGATGAATCGAATATTACATGGTTTAGCACGTTTTATTCATTACATTCGTATAATCATATAGTGAGCAAAATAGTCCAGAAAGACTAAAGACCTTTTTATTTTTACAAGATACTATGTTTCACTGCATTCACTGCTTCACTATAACTTTTCATCACTTCATGTAGATCATTTTAACAATTTCTCTTGGACTGAATGCGATTTAGCGAACTTTTTAAAAGAAAGACGATTGCACCTTGCTATTTGAAGTAAAGTGCTTATCGAAACCTACTTACACATGTGCAAAATAAAATACACATTACAGTAATTTCTCTCTAATTCGCGCTTAGATTGTGCACAAACATGGACAATTTAGGAAGAGGAAATACGATTATTCGAGCCTTGCGGCTCGTTTTTATAGTTACCGATTGTCAACAACTATAAAAACGAGAATCAAGGCTCGAACAATCGCATCTCCTCTCCTCAAATTGTCCACATTGTGCGCAATCTGAGCGCGCGAATTAGGGAGAAATTACTATCTTCAGAAATGACAAGAAGATCGTTCGCATTGTCGATACCTCAGAGCCGTGCTCCAATATCGGTAGTTCTCCTCGAATAAATCGATCGCTGCCGATCGCAGGCGTCTTCGTCGAAGGTCTCTCTTGGTCTCCGATTTTCAAGGGGCAGGTTTTCACGATCGTGCACGAGCAGTGCACCGGTACGGGTCTCAGGCGCGAACGGGGGTCAGGGTTCCGAGACTGAGGTAGCCCGAATAAAACCAACGGCCATAACTCTTCCGGCGGCGGGGTCAAGGTAGGTTAGAAAGGATCGAGAAGTGATTAGTGGTATTTACCGGTCCCCACTGAGAGAGAGCCTGCCGATTCTCGGTACCGCTCGGACGTCCCGCAGGGTCCTGCGTACGCGTCACAATGCCGCGATCTAACTGCTCCCTATTCTTCGGCAGGACTCTCTCGGAGGTCGTCGTGACACTACCGGGGGGATCCATCAACCGATATTAATGCGATTCTAACGGTGAGCATTAAAAGAGTTTTCTCCGAGAGCCGAGGAGAACCGTTTCCATCCGGTCCCAAACTTCATCGGAGGTCCAGCTCCGGATGGCCCCGATGAAAAGGGCCGCTGGACCATCCGAGGCTATCTCGATCTACGCCGATTTGTCTCTCGCGGCCGAGCGGTAACGAATGACGATCTTGAAGAAACCCACCACTGCGCGAATGCCGCGTTTCCCCCTCTTTTATGGGAGTAGCTTCGGTTATCGGTGTTCCACGGAGCTTGTAATTAATCTGACACTTTGCCGTTTCTGCGATCGATTTCACAACGTTCTATAGATTCTTATTGGTAGCGAAAAGTAGAACGTTTTTATTATGTCGATGGCGAGAATTGCTAAGCGCTTGCGTAAATTCGGTGCGAATTCTTGATCTCTTGCACACGAAGTTATTTTTAATATAGCAGATTCGTCGAGATCCCTTAAGCTAGATACGTGAAAATTATTGTTAATTCTGATGTAATAGTATTCAATGATTTCTCAAAATTGCCATTTTGCTCACATTGCCTCAATAAATATACAGACTTCAAGGAGGGGGAGGAGGGGCAAAACGAAAATCAACTGCCAGTAATTTTTCCAGATACAATTACTTTCTAACGTTCTATAGATTCTTATTACTAGTGAAAAGTAGAACGTTTTTATTATGTCGATGACGAGAATTGCTAAGCGCTTGCGTAAATTCGGTGCGAATTCTTGATCCCTTGCACACGAAGTTATTTTTAATAGAGCAGATTCGTCGAGATTCCTTAAGCTAGATACGTGAAAATTATTGTTAATTCTGATGTAATTAGTATTCAATGATTTCTCTAAAAATTGCCATTTTGCTCACATTGCTACAATAAACATACAGACTTCAAGGAGGAGGAGGAAGGGCAAAACGAAAATCAACTGTCAGTAATTTTTCCAGATATACTTTCTACCAAAAATTACTTACTACAACCTACATATTTTTTCAAAATCGTCATCACAGCAGTTCGGTAAAGGTCATCAATCTCAAGATTCCAAGTAGACGGTGACGCACGTTGCACAAATTGCAGCCTCTATACGCTTTTCTAGAATTAATTCCTCGACGCGTCGTTCTTCTGTCATTCCCGCAAAAATGATGCAACGATCGACGCATTAAAGAACCAGCAATTGGTGGCCCGTACAAACGGCTCCCTCTGTGGCCACGGGCAACGCATAACGAAGGAAACACGAAGCAGCTTTAATTCAGGTCCGTCGGCCGGTAGTTTCGGGTCTCAGCGTGCGACCCATTGTGAGCGATAACGAGTAAGCGGGCCACGCATTATGACCGTTCTCTTGCGTGCGCTGTCCGTAACGCGGCTTATTATTTCGTAGGATCCAGGGCAACCCAACAATGGGGGGCATTCCGGCTGTTAATGAGCCGGCCGGACTTATGGGGGCTCGATAACTCGATATTACAGCCTTGAGAAACGCGATCGTCGGCCGCGCTCACGCCCACGCACGGCTTTCGACCAACAGGTGTCTTCGCGGCGTTCGTGACCGGCATACTCGAATCTTCCGATTCGGTATTCGTTGAACCGCCGACGCTGCTTGGGAATTCATTATCGGCTGATAAATCATTTTTTATTGCGCGCCCACTTTTATTGAAAAGAAACACGCGCCTGGTCGGGGTCGCATTCGTGAGATATCGGATAGATTAAACGCACGAAGAATATTTGCAATGTTGTCGTTGTGATGTTAACCCTTTTTGCCTTCGAGTGACAAATATTTCAACGATTTCATTTCTTTCGACACGGTATATAAGATTCTTTCGGGTTTAAAGTCTTCGCTTTCGGTAAATTATGAACAACGAGGGTATTTTTACTACTTTTTGGAACGGTACAATTCTTTTTTAAATTCGACCGAACGAGTCGAATATTTTTGAGATATTATTTTGCTAGATAATAATATATATAATTAATTTATATATATATATATAACATATAACATATAACATATAATATAATAATATAATAATAAATATATATAATATATATAAATTATTAATTTTTAATTTATATATATATATATATATATATATATAAATTAATTATATATATTATTATCTAGCAAAATAATATCTCGAAAATATTCGAGTCGTTCGGTCGAATTTAAAAAAGAATTGTACCGTTCCAAAAAGTAGTAAAAATACCCTCGTTGTTCATAATTTACCGAAAGCGAAGACTTTAAACCCGAAAGAATCTTATATACCGTNTAATATTTTGTTAGATAATGCGTAGACAATTTTTACGAACATTGCAATTGGATGGAATGACAAATCGAAAATTAAAAATCACGCTTTTCAACCTTTTTGTTCGAGCATATAACGAAAATTGAACCGTACCACTACACCGAATTGTCTATACAATTGTCTATACAATGTGCAATAACAAATTGTCTAGCAAACTAGTCCTTCTAACATGTCCACATATGTCCACATAAAAAATGTCCACATATAATTGCGTATGACTATATACAGAAAATTCTCCCTAATTGACGCTCAGCTTGGAAATCAAAATGAACAATTCGGGAAGAGGAGGTACGATTAATCGAGCCTCGCGGCTCGTTTTTATAGCTGTTGAGAATCGATAGTTACCGATTTATAGTTATAGAAACAAACTATAAGGCTCGAATAATCTTCTCAAATTGTTCATTTTTGTTTCCAAGTTGAGCGACAATTATAAAGAATGTACTGAACTTTCATCCCTATTTTGATGACATTCAAACTTCTATCAGCGCAGAGGCATCAATAAAACTATTGACAATAAAATCTGACCGAAATGGCAAATGGTAAAAATCTGTTTCGTATGTTGTAACAGGGATCTATTTAGAAATTTCTTTGCGCGTAATCTAGTAAACGACTATACGACTTAAAAAAGAAAAAAGCAGAAAAG